AAGATGCTTCAGCTGCGCGTCAGAAATAAACTTGTACAAACATCCAGAATGAAGCAGCATGTGTTTTTACTGCTTCTGCTGCAGGCAGTCTGAACGTAGCATAATATATAGACAATCTTTGCCTTAAAATGGTTTAAATTTCTGCTACATCTGCCGTAACAAACCTCAAAGTTTAATCTGACCCCAGCATGTAATAAAGGATGCATCGGTCTCCTTTAATGAAGGTGTGAAACCAACTCTGTTTCTTGATCTTTCTCTGTTTTGTCTTCAGTGGCAGGTTGGATGAAAACCCAGAAGCGAAGTAAGACCTGGAAAGTTGGAATCCACATGGAGTCAGTCTGCTGGATTACTTGAAGAAAAGAAAAAAGTTGAATATGCTGCCCAGTTAAACTCACACTGCTTTTTTTTTTATTATTAAAGACATGTCATCACTATTTAATGCAGAAGTTGGTTCAGAGAAATGGAGCCTTTCCTGTCAATTTATGTCTGACAGTTTTGGACATTTGGACAGGTCAAAGTTAACCTCCATGAAGTTTAGGTTCCAGCTTCTTGGTTGCTGAAAATCCTGAGGAAGTGTCATAGTATCCGTTTTGCTGAACTTGGTCGGCTGATGGCCGTTGCCTTTTTTATTGGAAGGCTGGTTTCTTTGAGGTTTTACTTTTTTGCACCGTTTTGTGTTTGTTGCAGGAGAGCAAACCCTTTTTTTCCCTTCCAAACCATCTGTCCTGATGATACAATTGCGTTGCCACTTTGGTTATTCCACTCAGCAAACTTTCATTCTTTATTTAATAATAAAGTTTGATGTTAAACAGCGGTGAATATTTTCCAGAGCAGGGCGAGCGTTCATGACCCTGGTGCATGCAAACTCTACAGCACTTTATAAATCAGTCCCGCTTCATTTTACTGCTTGACTTTATTCATTTGAATTTAACTGTAAAACACTTAATACTTTTTTGGTTTGATTTAAAAAGAGTTTTTCCCTTTATTGTATGATTTGCCACAACTCCTAACTTATTACTAACTTATTCTCTCTGCTGTGTGTGGCGGTTTTCCGAGGCAGCAGCTGTGCTTTCCTATTCTCACACAATGTGCCCGATTACAACTTTAGTGACAAATGTTCTTTGAAGTGCTTAACTGAGACTTTTATCCTGCAGCTCCTTCAAAGCTTCTGGTGCTTTAGTCATTTTGTAGGACAGAGAATATGGCCAATAATACTTGCTACAGTTAATAAAGCACATTTCTGCTATTTGTTTCAGTTCAGTTTATTTCTATAGCTCCAA